TTTGGATAATAAAAAGTGACCTAAAGTAGGGTCGGCATAGTTAATCAGTCAGCGGTACATTCGCCTACCACTCATATAATAACAAGACGGCGCCAGCGAAATTCGAAAGCCAACTGTTTAGTCAAAATCCGGGCAGTTAGCCAATTCGCTAGCAAGTTTGCAAATTGGCTGCCCCAATACTTCGTAAACTTGCTGTTATAATTATAGAACAGTAGATTTGATTGGCAAAAGATCACCATACACATCTAAGAATTGACCAATTGGAAGAACTCTCTCATACTACAAGTACACGAGTGTATAAAAACCACTCAGGTGTACCGATTTTAAACTATTGGTGGCGCAATTCAGCGTACAATACAAAGAACGGGAAAGTCAAAGAACGCATAACGCAAAATTAAAAGTTGCGAGAACGTATCACCGGGAATTCATTACATCCAATAACGAAGAACGAAAAATTAGCTGAGAACGAATCACCATGAATTAAAAATCTCGAGAACGAATCACCATGAATTAAAAATCCCGAGAACGCATCATCAGGAATTAAAAAGCCCTCATAACGGATAACGAAAAAAGTATAAAGGGGCCTGGAAGGAGGGGGTGTGTGTGAGTGCCTGGATATGGTTCTCTATAAGAATTACATAAACATTATACTTAGCATAGCAACCATTCCATACAGAACAAGATTTACATTTTATTATATGTTTCTCCGCCTACAGAGTTTCTCAACACCCCTCCAGATTTGTTTCCTCAACCCCCCATTTTTGAGAGGTAGGGACCCCTCCTACATCTTTTTTTCTTTGCAAAATTATCTACTTTCTATGAATTTTATCCCATCTGCCCAGGAATCTGTAGTTTTCCTATATTTTAGATTCAGAATTTGCCCCTTCATAATAAATGTATTTTATGACAATTTTACCCCCTCTCCACAAACTGTAAGTTGTATTTTCCGGAATTTCATGAGATCTGCAAAGATCAGCTTCTTTCAACAATTAAATCTGTAA